AATCTTTCTAGCATTGCAACAAGACTATTCCACCTCGTTTTGACATCTAATATCAGCTTAAGCTCTTTATTAAACATAGATTTTACGTACATTTGTAAAACTTCATTTTTAAGAGGTGATTTACGGAACATTCGAACCACTTTTCGAACCTTCTGAATTGTTAAGGCTATATTTACGCTATTTTGTAAATCATCAATAAACGTAACGCCTGTTGAGCTGTGTGACTCATCATTACAGTCAAATACATCATCAAACTCGTCGTAATCACTCAAATTTTCATCGGAATCTTGAAACTGCGATTCAAATTCAATATATTTTGCTGAAGAGTCTGACTTTTTGTAAAGAACATCACATACTGCCAAATGAAGTCCGTGGGCATAACACAGCTGATGTTCAATACCACTTAGCCGTCCAAATTTTTTCATTACGGATGCTCCGTCAGTGACACTAGCTATGATGTGCTTTTTAATTGATAAACTGAAATCTGACAGTTTATTTTCAACTAGATCAACAATTTTTTCTGCAGGAAGTGATCCAGCTATCGGAGTCATTCCCAGGTTCCAAAACTTTGTTGATAAGTGTAAATTTACATTTAAATAACGTCGATTTTTTAAAGACGTATATTCGTCTAACGATAAAGAAAATCGCGACCCGCTAGAAATTTCTTTTGTTATCTCTAAAACCACAGTTTGTCTAGCTAATTCATATTGTTTTTTTATCATACCCATAACATGGGATGGATTTTTTGGTAATAACATGCCTTTTTCAGACAATGATTTTCTAATGAATTCACTTTTTGTTATGGCATTTATTGAGAAGCCATCCACCGTTGCTAGCTTTGACACAATTTCCTCGATAGTCTGCTGTTTAACAAACAATGTTATTTTCTTTTGAACAATTTTATTTTCCGAACCAGTATCTTCAAGTAGACGCTTCATATTTAGATCCAAATCTTTATGTGTGTTTTTTAAATGACGTAGGAGCCCACTGGTCGAAAATCCTTTGCACATTATCTTTACATTGCACTTTTTGCAAATTGCAGATTCGCCAGATTTTTCTTTACAAAAATACTGCCATGCTTTGGATCCATTTACAATTGACATAGTATAACTAAATTGAATCGCAGAACAACTAAAAGTAAAGTTACAAATATTTCTTACATATGTATGTTATCTTACGTATGACTTTTATGTGTTTGTTTGCCGTTTTTTAAATACAAAAATTATTAAATATTTCAATAATTTGATACAGAAAAAGTTTAACTTTTCAATAATTTAGAAGTTTAAAAATTAAACTTACTGTTTTCGTCGCAAGAAATCTTTTTTATTTTTTACTCATATTTTATAATAATGAGAAAAAAGAAAACATTGCATTGCAATGCATTTCTTTTTAGTTTAAGATAGTTTCAATAGCATTTCTTGTTGTGCTAGGTTTTAATATAAGGTATGAACACATAAAACACAACTAAATGCAATAATATTTTTCTTATTTTTGGTCGAATTAGTTCAAAGTTATCATATGTAAAATTATTTTAAAAAAAATTATATTCCGGGATATAAGAGTGATATCCCGGGAAATCCCGCTGCCACTTTTATCCCCGGGATCCCGGGAAAACGGGATCCCGGGATCCCGGGATCCCGTTTGAGAAACCCTAGCATGAACTAAATAAATTACCTGACTTTGAAAGTTACTTTACTCATTTAAAAATAACATAAGGTTTATACTTTACTATAGAAGTCATCAGATTAGAAAGATTTCGAACTTATTACTGATGAAGCAAAGTTTTCGATCTTATTACTGATTAAGCAGATATTAACAGATTATAAAAATTTAAGAGTACATCATTGCCTGGTAAAAAATATAAAAAGAAATGTTAAAAGGCCAAATATGGTAAAAACTTCATGTAAAACGCGCACGAATAGGTAACGGCAGCAGCGTTAGGTTAAGCAATAATATAAAGTGATGATGTTAATATTAGTTACAGTTTATTTAATTTTTATTACCGCCATTATTAATTATTAAAATTGCTTAATATTTATATGTGATATTTATTAATATTATTTTTACTATTAATATTTTTATTATAATTGTTAATTTTTTCAATACTAGTATTATTGTTGTTATTTTTTATTAATATTAATATTGTTGTTATCATAATTAAAAATATAATCGTTATTATATTTACTTGTAATATTGTTTTTATTATAACCCTTTTAGTTAAATTTACTTTAATTTTGCTATATGATTGCTATTATTATTTAACTAGCAGTAAGCAACCCGTAATACGGGTTATGAGTAATTAAATCATTAACAACCATAAAAACACATTAATAATTTGATATATTATCTAAAAAATTAAATGCAAATTTATCTATAAAAAATATTTCAACTTTGACTCTCTATAAGCAATGTCATTGCTTATAGTTAACAAAACAAAGACCGCATTAACATCATTTAAGTTCTTTTTTAAAACTGTCACAACAAAGGTGCCAGAAAAGGAAAGTCAAGTTAAGCCTGCAAATAACTTAAAAAAGAAATAATAAAAAAAAAAATTTATTTACAAAAAAATTTTTTATTTACAAAAATATTGTTTGCATTTTATTGCTAGTAGAATTTATAATAATACAATATAACGGAAAATATAAAGAACAAAAAATAGCTATAATAGCTTAGGTCTATCAACGCAAAACACAGTAACAATAACGCATACCATAAAATATTTTCAAATTAATATGTGTCTCCAGAGTAATTAAAAAAGAAAAGATTAAAAAAAGGCTAAAAACACAATGTAGTAACACTGGCAAATAATACCACAACCTAATAAAATATTTTATTAACTAAAATACTGGACTAAAAATGGTTTTATTTATTACAATATTTGAAAAATCCAAGGATAATTATAGTTAAAAAATTCGAACAATTATATCATAAAGTAGCAAGCAACTCGTAAAATATTTCTCATAAATGGTCATTATCAATTGTGATGTTAAGAAATAGGTAAAAGCTCAGTAATTACATAAGTTTTATTATTTCTCCGTCACATCTAAGAGAAAGAGGGAGAGGAAGAAATTATTTCCGAAGCAGCGTGTTAAAAAAAGTAAAATAACACGCAATAAATAGTAATAACTGGTCTTATTATATTACCAGAAAACAAAATTATTTTTACCTTAATTTAAAGTTAATTTCTAGCATTTCTGAATTAAGATCCAGCTTCTCCCTAACTGTTGACTAGTGATTAATAGAGTAAATTTCAAATCATATTAAATTTAAAAAATTAAAACCATGTTTCAACAGTAAGCAAACTAATCAAGTGATGACAAAGGTGACTACAAAAAAAAAAGAACATAATTATGTTTGAAAAAAATAAATAAATTTAAAATCATTTAAATTTAAAAGTGTTAATAATTTTTACTATAATTAGTAAAATTCATACTTTTCTTTGTTCTAAGGTGTCTAAAGTAAAATAAAATTAACACTGCTTGATACTGAATTTTGGCATATAAGTTTTCTGCTCACCAAGGAGATTTTCTTACGTTTCAACAAAAATTAATTTCGTCTTACCTCTTTCCTTTGACAACAACTGTTTTTAAGTTGCCTATTAGCATTTACGTTAATAACTTTTTTGAGTCTATAATTATACACGTAATATTTAATAATAATATTTCAATATTATTATTAAACATATTACCAGTAATCTTACTATTATTACAACATTTGCTAATTGTGATCTTTTCTAATCAAAGACTATATTTTAACTTAAGATTTATTGAAATTAATATTTTTTTTAAGTTTATATAAAAAGTCGTTTATCAATTTTAAACAATATTTAGATCAATTATTTTTAACTAAACAAAGAATCTAGATAACAATGCACAAAATTATTTTTACCTTAATGCAAAAAAATTATAAATGCACTTGTATAAAAAATTTAAGCAATGTTAGACAGTATATTTTATTCTAAAATAATTATACATATATACATATATAAATTTACATATATACATATGCATATATTTATATATATATCTATATATATATATATAAATTTATATATAAGTATATATATATATATATATATATACATATATATATATATATATACATAATATATATATATATATATATATATATATATATATATATATATATATATATATATATATATATATATATTATATATATATATATATATATATATATATATATATATATATATATATATATATATATATATATATATATATATATATATATATATATATATATATATACACTACTAGTGCTTGATTTACGAGTACATTCCCCCCCCCCCCCCGTTAATCGCAATTTTTATTTCTCTATTTTTACTATATTTTTTATAGATGTTCTTTTTTTTATATTTTTATTTTATGTCAATTTTTATTTATTCGTCCTCGTAAGTATCTATTTTAATGTAAAATCTGTTCTCGAACATGCTACTATATGGATATATATATATATATATATATATATATATATATATATATACATATATATATATATATAGACGCTTAAAGACGTCTTTTTCGGACGTTCAAAAGATAGAGACGTAAAAGTTTCATTTGCGTATTAAAGTGTTCATGATAAAACAGCCGAAATTTGGTCCAGAAAAACGTCTTTTGAACGTTCAAAAGATGTTCAGAACGTCTTTAAAGCGCTCAAACGACGTTTGATAAGCTTCAAGCGTAATTTATGTATTGCAGACATTTGATAACTGAATTACGCTCATAGCTGAATTAACTTGAAAACCCTACAATTGTGGGGTTTTTACCACTGGGTTTTTACGTTTAGAAAACATAACCGGAACGTCAGCAAGTGCAGATATAAAACACAATTTGCAGTGTAAACCATGTTAAAGATACTTCACATCACTAAAATATTTAAAAAACATCTTGAAAACTGTTATTATGATTTTCTTTATCCCGTCCACCTCCGCCTTTTCTATCCGGCGCTCTTTTAAGCACGTTTCCAACGCATTTTTCTATTTCCATTTCATCATACTTTGACATGGCCTCTGCAAAAAATAAATTTAAAATATAAGATTTATAATATATATTATAAATAGCTTAATCAGCCATGCATAATTAAACATTAACCAAAAAAGCCATTATATTATTGATATGAGTAAAACATTATTGTTTGATTGCATCCCTGAAAATAAAATTTTATCAAACCTTTTCGATTATTAAAACCTATCCTTGACTATTTATAATATATTATAAAAAAAATATGTACCAGCAATAACCTTCATCAGATTTGTCTTACGAAACGCATTCTTATTCCTCGTTTCATCCATATTAAAACTTGACATTAATTTGTTTGTCATGAGTCTAGGTAGTAAAACGAACTATTAATAAATATCTAGCATATATAAAAGTATGTAACCAAAGAATATAGCTGGCAGAGAAGAGTATATGATTTCTGTTTTATAATCATCTTCCGCCACCATTTTCAGACATCACCAATTAAAAAAAATTCGGGCTTTATCTTAACCATGATAAATGTTAACTCATATAATCTAGTGTTTTTTATTTCATAAATTTTATGTAAAGCAAAATGTTAAAAACAAAAGATTCAATTAAATAAATACTGAACATTTTTTCAAAGATACATAATTTAAAAGTACTAATTTTACATTTGTATAGCATGAAACACCACCAATTTTGAAAAGCTGAGTTCTCTAAAAAAAAAACAATTTAATTATAGAATAAAAACTTATAAATGATGGTATAAAAATTTAATGTGCAAAACATAGTAACCCAATATTGTATTATGGCAACCCATTATGTTTAAAATTCCTTATTAGATATTAGAAAGATCCATGAAAATTCTATAACAAAAATGCGAAATCACGTACTATTTTGTATCACTTCATTATACTAAAACCTACCAAACGAGTGTGTTGACAAATATCATTCAACCCCTGGTCAAACTCATTAAAACCATCCAAATCTGACATGCGATTTATAGAATAATCAGGCAATTCATTTTTTTCACCTTGCTTCTTTATTTCTTCTAAAATCTCTTGTAACTTGTGGAGAACCTTATACTGAAATCCTGTAAAATTTAAAAAAGAAATATTTAAAAAACCCAAAAGCTTATCTTTATAACAATTTAAAAGTTAAAAACTGGCATAGTTTTAAGTAAATATTATTGTAAATTATTCCATACTTGCTTCTGTTAATGGAAACTTGTTTAATGCAATATTTGAAGTATTTATACTTTCTTGTTCATAGCTTTTTGATACAGACGAAGTTGAAACAAATGGAGAATTAAGCTGTAATGAGAACGATGGTTTTAAAATTCGTTGCGGTATTCTCGATTTTAACGGTTGCCGATGGATAAATGCCTAAATCGTTTATATTGATTATTTTACTTAATAAATCTAAAATATATAATCCAACAAATTCATAAGTTTCTGCTCCATCATAACTGCCCATTGTTACATCAAAGCAATTATGTATGTTTTTCTTTTTCCAAGTTTCCTTATTAAAATAAAGTAAAGTTTTTCTACAATGTTTTATTATGCGAATATATAAACATATATATGAACTATATATATATAGAAATATATATATAATATATATATATATATATATATATACTATATATATATATAAATATATAATATATATATATATATATATATATATATATATATATATATAAAATATATATATATATATATATATATATATATATATATATTACATATATATATAAATATATATATATATATAAATATATACATACATATATATATATATATATATATATATATAGATATATATATATATATATATACAAATATATATATATATATAATATATTATATTATATATATATATATACTATATATATATATATATATATATATATATATATATATATATATATTTTATATATATATATATATATATATATATATATATAGTCATATATATGTTTATATATATATATACATATATATATATATATATATATATATATAGTATATATATATATATATATATATATATATATATATATATATATATATATATATATATATATTATATATATATATATATATATAGTTTCATATATATGTTTTATATATTCGCATAATAAAACATTGTAGAAAAAACCTTACTTTATTTTAATAAGGAAACTTGGAAAAAGAAAAACATACATAACTGCTTTGATGTAACAATGGGCAGTTAAGATGGAGCAAAAATTTATGAAATTTGTTGGATTATATATTTTAAATTTATTAAGTAAAAAAATCAATATAAATGATTTAGGCCTTT